TTCTGCTTATCCAAAATCAGGGGAAAATCATTATTTCCATTATAGAGGTTTTTCACTTCTTTGGTTAAGTAAATTCCTAAGTATTTAGGGGTTTTTTTTATGCTACTGTGGGTAGTATTGTTTTCTCAGTTGATTTCTTATTATTGTTGTATGGAGGTACTTGATTTTTGTGTGTTGATTTTTTTTTTTTAAGATTTTTTTTTTTAATTTTATTTATTTGTGTGTGTGTGTGTGTGTGTGTGTGTGTGTGTGTGTGTGTGTGTGGCCAGCTCAGCCCACCAGGGGGCGGGGCTGGCTGGCATGTGGTGCTGGGGGATTGAACCATGGTCCCTGTGCTTTTTTGCTAAGCTTGTTCTAGGTAGGTGCTTTAGACCACTGAGCCATCTCACCAGCCCCTGTGTGTTGATTTTTGTAGCCTGCTACATTACTGAATTTGGGTATTAGTTTTAGAAGTCTTTAGGTAGAATTGTTTGGGCTTCTATTTAAAAGATTATGTCATATACAAAAAATAATGACTTCTTCTTTTCCTATATGTTTCACTTGTATTTCTTTCTCTTGCTTTATTTCTCTGGTTAATATTTCAAGCACTCTACTGTGTTGAGAAGTGGTAATAGTGAACATTCTGTGTTCCTGATTTTAGAAGGAAATCTTTTAGTTTTTTCCTCACTTAGTATGATGTTTCCAATTGGTTTGTAATATATAGCAGTTATTATGTTGAGTTAGAGTCCTGATGTATCTCTTCTTCAGGGATTTTATCATGAATTAATGCTGGATTCGGTTAATGGCCTTTTCTACATCCATTGAGATGATCCTGTGATTTCTGTCCTTATTTCTTGTATGTGATGTATTACGTTTGTTGAATGCATGTATTGAATCACCCTTGCCTCCATACGAGAAAGCCTTCTTGGTCATGATACACAATCTTTTTGATGTTTGTTGTATCCTGTTTGCCAGTACAATATCTTGTTGAGAATTTTTGCATTCATGATCATTAAAGAGATTAGCATGTAATTCTTTTCTTTTTATTAAGTTCTTTTCTAGTTTTGGAATAATGGTAACGCTAGCTTCCAGGAGTAATATTCAGAGTATTCCTTCCTTTTAATTTTATTAAAGAGTTTGAGGCATATTTGCATTTAATTTCATTGGCTGTTATTGGATTATTTGGGTTTTTATGTTTACTTGGTTCAGTTTCGGTCATTCATATGAGTCCTTCTATTTCTTCTGAATTCTCCAGTGTATTGGAGTACAGGCTCTCAAAGTAGTTACTAATATTCTTCTGGATTTGGCAGTGTTCATTGTGATTTTACCTCCTTCATTTCTAATTACCTTGATTTGGGTCTTTTATTTTTGCTAAGATTGGCTTTGTCTATTTTGTTAAATTTTTTGTTTTGAAGAGCCAGCTCTGTGGTTTATTGTTCATTTTAATTGTTTTTTTGTCTCACTTTATTGATTTCTGTCCTTTTTCTGTCATTTGTGCTATCTCCTGCTTTTTCATTAATGCAAATAAATCTTAAACTATTCTTCTTTGCCTCATGTAGCAGCTGCTGGATTTATTTCTCATGGTCCCTTGATATTTTTAAGAAATATTTCTTTTCATGATTGCTAACCACAAGCCTTTCTTCTATATCTGAGAACCTCTTGTATTGGCTTGTCCTGCTGTTGATATTTTCTTGTTTACCTTTTTCTTTTTTAAAGAGAATTCTCTTGGATATCTGCTTGAATCTGCCTCATGGATTCCATTTGTTTCCTATGCTGAACATTCATGGCATTTATAGTTTTCTTAAGCTCCTCTGTATTTGATCTATCTGTGCTCTAGAGTCACTAAGCATGGTTTCCAGTGCAGACACCATCTCTGCAGTTATCTGAGAAATTATTTTTAAGTCGATTTTTTTTTCTAGAGGCTCATTCAGTTAGTTTGTTGTTCCCATTTCAGAGATGCCAGGTGAGTGACTTTGAGACTGTCCTATCTTGTTGCCCCCGGGTTTGCTTTAGGTGACCTGGATGCCTGGGGTTGCATCTCATTTAAGTGTATTCTCATTTTTTCTTTTTTTAGTTTAATTCCTGGGAAGATGCTTATAAATTGCCTGTGGTGAGTTGCTTTATTGCTAGTATTTATAACGCTTTTGAAATGACTACTTCTCTGAGGTGACTTCCAGGTGTAGCTGGTTTCTGAATTTTGAGTCTGTTGCAAGATCTCATCTCTTCAGTTTGTTGGGGATGAGATGTTTCTTCCTGCTTGGCATTGTGCCACCGTATTTTCTATGATTGTTAGTCACTCTCAGTCTTGGAATACCAGAAAGAATAGCTTATTAGAACAATTATGTCACTTTGGGTAAAGTGATTCTATCAGAAAGAACAATAGCGTCACACAACCTAGAAAATGACAAACTGAGATAACCATTCATTTGCCACCTTTAATCTTATGAACGTAATTTGTGGTTACATGAGAAAATCCTTAGAAATACAAAGCAGAAAATTATATGAAGTATGTAAGTCCTTAATATGTCGATTTTACTCTCAGGTGTTAAAATTTAAAAGGGCTAGAGAGAAAATAGAGAAGTAGAAGAAGAGAAAGATGTTAGAAGTAAGGCTGGAGGACAAATGGAAATCACACTCACTTTGGGAAATGATGCAGAAGACAGGAGGGAAAGAGACAAAGGAAGAGCAGAACAGAACAGCACCACAAAGAGGTCAGAATCTTGTTTGTACTCATGAAAGCAAGATCAAACAATGAAGGAGAAAACAACAGCAACAAAAACAAACAAGGGAGAGAGAGAGACACAGACAGACAGACAGACAGACACAAAGACAGAGAGAGACAGAGGCAGAGAGAGACAGAGACACAGAGAAAAGAATCCACTTTTCACAAGTAGATGGTGCGTGGCGATGGAGTCCAGGTCTGTGTTGATTTATCGCAGCAAGCCAGCAGTTGCTTTTTGGTAGGGTTGCAGATAATCTCTGTGAGCCTGCATCTTTATTTGCCCCCAAGTTTAGTCTGTATAGGGCATCAGAAGCTGAGACCAGACCCTTTCAGCCTGTAGCAGTCCACACACTTTCCTCAGCGGGCCGGAACACAGCTGGGAGCTGTTAGAGGAAGCCAGCAGCTGCTCTGACTCCAGAGCTCAGCCAGCCCCTCTCCAAAGTGACAACAGTCAGCTGATTGCTGTCCCCCACAGTGACCAGAGCACTCACTCTCACTAGCACAATCTTTCACATCCACTGCTCCCTCCACGGCTGCGTCTCTCCATGGAGGCCTCTGTGGTTGCCAGCAGTCACTGGGTCCCCACAGGTTTGAACTGTTCCTCTCACACAGTGAGTGCCAACTCAAGGAGAAGGCTTTGCAACCTCCCTCCTTCTTCCTTGAAGTTTCTCTCTTCACTCTCCCCATGGGCTTCAGTTCTCACTTGAGATCCTTCCTGGGCCCAGGGGACCACCTTCCCTCCTCATCTTTCTCACATTGCTGTCTACATCCCAGTGTCTGGAAAGCGACTCTCAGAGAGGCTCTTTCTGCTTATTGCCGTGTCATCTCAGAGCTTCTCCCGGATAGCTTACTAATTCCAACTAATCTTAAATTAGTTTTCTTTAGGTCATCTTGCAGCTGTTGGCTCTATTTTTTTCTGTTTGGTATCTTTTCATGGACTCTAATTCTTTGCTAGTCATTCACGTTTTTGTCATTTAGCTTAGCTCCCCTAGGTTTTTATTACTGTTTTCTGTAAATTTGCGATGATTTCATTAATCAATGATCTGTTCAATTATATCTTCTTTGAGCCTGCCAAGAACTTTCCTGGCTGTTTCTTTGTCTCCTCTTTTATTACTATTTTGAATAATTCAGCCAGGAGGTTTTTAATTTTTTTTCCTTCTGATGCTCCATGGATCAGCTTTGGCAGAGTAGAGAATTTGGGGTGGCATTTTGTTGCCTTTATCTATTATTTTTTAAGATTTTGTTTTGTTCTATTTTGCTCTTTTTTTTTTTTTTTTCAGTACTGGGGATTGAACTCAGGACCTTGCACTTGCCAGGCTTATTCTACTGAGCTATCTCCCTGTCCCCACACTGAGGTTTTTGAGAGCTTATAGTAAAATAACTTTGCTGTTAGTATGAAAATCTTTTCAGTTAGTGCCTGCTTTTCAGTGATACATTCTTGGTGTGGCGAGCTATGGGCTCTTGCCTCTCTGCCAATATCTGGTCACCTCTGTTAACTTGGGGAGGATGTCGTGTAATTGGCACCCTGGAAAGGGACTGCGGTGTTTTTAATGACACAGAGGTAATCCAGATATTGGTTTACAGAGAAAACCTTTTAATAGCAACAACTATGCCCTTTGGTAATAGCAATAAAGTCAGCAACAATAACAGCTTCAAAGACAAACTGGATGTTAGCATACTATATGAACCAATAATGTACCACCTTTAACCTAGGAGATCAATATTTACAGTATAAATACTAAGACAAAACAAATATAGGCATACAGTAAATATTTACTAAATGTGACAAATACTTCAATGACCAATAGAAAAGAATTCAACAATAATAGCATATAGTGAACTATCCTAGATTGATAAAGCTCAGTTGTTATGCTAGTAAAGCTAGAGTGAGTGGAGAATGAAAGAATAAAGTTTTTCAACTTAAGCAATGAAAGATGAGGAGGAGTGAAAAATAAGTTTAAAGATTCTATTAAGAAATCAAAGGTTCATTACATCAGGTATATTACACTATAAATTATTGTAGTGGTACCAGGAATGAAAAATTAAGGAATTTTTAACTTTAAAAAGAAAAGAAGTAAAAGGAAAATAATAGAACTAAATAAAGATAGCAGACAAAGAACAAATAATGAAAAAAATGGATAAAAAAAAAGTAAGGTAAAAAAGAATGATAAAGAAAAAAAAAAAAGGAAAAAGGACATTCCTTCAAACCCCAAAAGTTTTTAATTAAAAGTTAAAACATCTTCCTTTACTACACTGTATGTTGTGTTTAACCTGTGTTTGTATTCTTCTAACAATTTAGGAATGCCACAATATCCCCTACCGAGAGTCCAAATTCCAGCTAGCACTGCTTCAGAAAACTGGTTATGGGGAGTGCATCATGTTTCCAAAAGGTATTTATTTCAAGGCTTTCATCTTTATTTTCTTTGAGAAAATTTTGAAAAATATTTAAGCATGATGAGCATTCGGCCTATTGCTCTTCCAAGATCTTATCTGACATGTAAGGACAGGACTGGCATTTGATCAAAATTAATTTTATTGGGTTGCTTTTTTCCCCCTATCCAAAGCACTACAGAATAAAGGACTACAGAAGAATGTGATCCAACTTACCTTGAATTTCAAGTAAGCATGTAGTTGGGAGAGAGCTCCTTTTCAAAAACTTCTCTGTACAGATGTACACTCCCATTTAGGCATGCATTTTCCATGGTATCTTCCAATATGATAAATGAAAAGAGGTGACATTTCCCTCATACAATAAACACACGCTATAAAACACAGACAGCCCCTGAGGCTCGGGGATGATTGGTTTTTTTCCAGTCAGCACACCTTGCATTATGTCCCTCATAGTTCTTTATGTTCCGTGACTCTGTATTTCTCCACTTTTCTACTCCAGTTCATGTTCCAAGCTCAGCTACCTAAGTGATTATATTGGAATTCAATTCTTTTTTTTTTTTTTAATCTTTTTGAGACAGGGTCTCATTATACAGTTCAGGCTGGCCTAGAGTTCACTTTGTAGTCCATCCTGGTCTCAAACTTGCAACCATCTTCCGGCCTCAGCCTCTGGAATCTCATTCTGATCATCCTATTTCCCCATCTAAAATGACTCCATAAGGGCTAGCGAGATAGCTCAGCGGACTAAGCACCTGCTTTGGCAAGCAGAAGGACCAGGGTTCGATCCCCGGTCTAGCATTCTGTGCTGGCCCCGCCCCTGGAGCATGCTGAACATGTGACAGAGTCTGGGCGCGCTGGTAATCCCAGTGCTGGGGAGGCCAAAAACAGGAGAATCACCATGAGTCCAAGCTGCGTAGAGAGACCCTGTACCAAATACATAAAGATGAAAAAATAAATAAGTAAATAAAATGACTCCATGTCCTGCCCAGTGAAGTCGATGTAGATGAAGAGGTCTCATCTAGCAGCTCCAGCTTCATCTCCCAGCCGCCCTGCCTCTGCCCCTGTTGTAACTCTCGCAGCACTCACAATCCTCACAGCATTTATACTTTTTCTGGAAATGCCTTTTTAGCTCCACCCTCCTCACAAACCGTACTTTGCATTTATCAACCTCATTCAGACAGCAGGTTCTTCAACGAGCGGCCCCCAAAGAACAACACACATAACTTTTCTGCTTTCATACTATAATTTCTACATGCTTCTGTTGAGGCACATACTAACCTTTACGATTACTTGTGTACATGCTTCTCTCTTCCCCAGTAACTTTGTGGAAGGGATACCACGTGCTATTTATACTATTTGGTTTTAGTTTCATCTTGTACATGTTAGACAATCAGGAAGTGCCCATGGGACACATAACTAACTAATGGGCTTCTCATTTGTGAAAATTCTGTTTATTTCACCTTTTTTTGCACACACTATTTTTCTTGTTAGGGCTCACTGAATATAATTCAGTACTTAGCTGACAGTTCATGATGTAGTCTTTTGAAATCCTGACCATGGAGTAGATTGATGAACACGAAATATAAAACATGGGGGATGTATGAGGTCAGACCATATGTATCTATTGGTATTCAAATATTTTTATCTATAGAATTAGCAATTTCATGGACTTAATTTCATACAGTGTGTAGGCAGTTGTGAGTGTGTAAAATTTTTTTATCATCCTCTGATCTAAGTTTTCTCTGCCTCACCCTACTCAGAGTCTCTGATTGAAGTCTGTTTTCTTGTGCTTTCCTTCAAGACCCCATATCTGACAGCCACAAGTATTCTGATGACAGAATATTTTGTTCCGAATTAGTTAAGACTTGCTCATCTGTGAAATATATCTTCCAGGCATCAGATGGAGTTGGTGCTACCTGATCTCCCAACCACTTGGGAGATTCAAGGAGTTGGCATATCAGACAAAGGTAAGAAGCTGATCTGATACACTAGCTTGAATCTGGAAATAGTGTGTTCATTGTAATAGATCTATCATTTTATTGACAGTTCACTTGGAATGTTAGGGGCACATATTTGATGCTCTCATGGTAATCTAGGTTAAAAATGACATCCGTGTCTTCGAACTTTTTTTTTTTTTTTTTTTTTTTTTTTGCCAGCTCAATCCAGGTGTGGCATGTAGGGCCAGGGATCGAAATGCAGTCCCCTGAGGCTGCCTAAGCTTGCCTGAGCAGGTACTTTAGATCGCTGAGCTATCTCACTGACCCCTCTTTGAACATTTTAAAAAATCATTTATTTATTTGGTACGGGATCTCGCTCTGCAGCACAGACTCATAGTGATCTTCCTGTCTCAGCCTCCCCAGTGCTGGGATTATAGGTGTGCACCACCATGCCCAGTTTTGGTGACTGGCACATCTCTCTCAGTGTTCCAGGGACAGCACAGCATGCGGTACTGGGGATCAAACCCAGGTTCTTGCACTTGGCAGGCAAGTGCTTAGACCGCTGAGCTAGCTCCCCAGCCCTAAACATTTTTTTATTCAATGGTTTCACATTCCAGATCTTAGTGAGCAACAATTATGAACCAGAGTATCATTTTTAAAGAATATGAGCTGGGGAGATAGCTCAGTGGTCTAGATGCCTGCCTGCCTGCCAAGTGCAAGGACCTGGGTTCGACCCTTGGACCCACATGCTGTGCTGGCCTGGAACCAGGCATGGTGGCACACACCTGGAATCCCAGACGTAGGGAGGCTGAAACAGGAGGATCACCATGAGTCCAAGCTGCATAACAAGACCCTGTACCAAATAAATAATTAAATAATAATAATAAAGAACAAAATGAATTGCCATTTCAGTGCACCCCAGGGGCAGGGCCAGCATGGCAGGCCAGAGATCAAACCCCCAGTCCCTGTGCCTGCTTGCAGACACTTTATTTATTTATTTATTTTTTTTTTTCGGAACTGGGGATTGAACTCAGGCCCTTGCGCTTACCAGGCAAGTGCTTATTCTACTGAGCTATCTCCCCAGCCCCTATATTGCAGACACTTTAGTCCACTGAAATATTTGGCCAGTTCTCAAAAAATAATTTAAAAATATATCAAAATTGGAGCTGGGGAGATGGTTCAGTAGAATGAGCACTTCCCTGGCAAGCACAAGGATCTGAGTTCAATCCCTGGTTCCACAAAAAAAA